AATAGTCATAAATGTACAGAAATACTTAAATATAGCCAAAACGACAGTCATAAATAGAAAGTCTTAAATATACAGCAGAATCAGCAGTTGTAAATATATAGAAATTCTTAAACATAGTGAAAATGTAATAAATAATAACCAAAAAGTACGGGCAGAATCTAAACATGGACTGAAATGAGACCCATTGATAAGGAGCTGTCAAGTCTCTGCTGTATCTTTTGAGCCAGATATTAATTTGCAATCTGTTAAGACTTAAAAACTGAAGACTCTTAAAGATACAATATGCTCCTGTGATTTTGACCTTTTTTTTTTTAGTTTGGAATGCTGTGTGTACGAGCTATGGTTCGTCTCAAGAGACTGAAGTTTACCCCCGAACCACTGTCTGTTGATGTAGCATGTAGCGACCCCTATAGGATTAAAACACTGAGAAAGGTAAGACTTGCTCTTTTCAAGTAAAATGATGTATTCACACACGTAACATCAAACCTGCAAAAAACAGTGTATTAACAAGTAAAATGATGTATTCACAGATGTAACATCAAACAACAGTGTATTAACAAGTAAAATGATGTATTCACAGATGTAACATCAAACAACAGTGTATTAACAAGTAAAATGACGTATTCACACATGTAACATCAAACAACAGTATTAACAAGTAAAATGATGTATTCACAGATATCAGAAGACTTCTGTACTCTTTTAAAAAACATTGTAACTTTACTCTTAGCTGACAAACACATACAGAGTCAAAATGTTATTGAAAAGAGCCATGTAACATCAAACTTGCAAACAACAGTGTATTAACAAGTAAAATGATGTATCACACATGTAACATCAAACAACAGTGTATTAACAAGTAAAATGATGTATTCACACACGTAACATCAAACCTGCAAACAACAGTGTATTAACAAGTAAAATGATGTATTCACACACGTAACATCAAACTTGCAAACAATAGTGTATTAACTTATTTTCTGTTCCATCAGGTTATTGATGGCTGTGCTTTTCGGGTGTACTGTCACTGGGTAAAGAGAGGTGAAGCCCAGAATCGTGCAGCACTCTTTGAAAACCATCCAAAAACAGAACTGAAACAGATTTATAAAAATGCATTGAAATTTTCCATGACATAGTAATGCCTCTAATTTAGGTATTCAATATAATGACACGGTAATTTATCTGATCTAGGTATTCAAACTGCCAAGAAAAACTAATATGTGATTGTGAGTAGACCCCACAGGACTCTCAGGAGATAGAAATTTTAACGTCCAAAGATGGAGATAGTGTAAATAGTTTTGTTGTTTACTAGCATGACGAAATCTAGGCACTGTATCTTTTCATAAACTTTTAATTTATTGTAGTGTGTTATTTTAGCAGGGATGATAATTTTATAGAGATTTACAAATCTGTGTTGTTATTGTTTTTTTTAGGTGGGAAGCTGCTAAGATACTTTTTGAGATTATTGTAATTTTACAGAAAATTTTAATACGATAACATCTCTCTCTCTCTCTCTTTTAAATTAATCACGACTTGTTATCAAAGGCTGAAATTAAATTGAAAAGCAAGAAAAAGCAACAACAAACGTTTTTGTTGTTTTCTTTTTGTGAATCAAATAAAAAAAAAACCTAATAGTTGAAATAACTTATTTTTGTAACAAAGTAATATTTTGTTGCTGTTGCCATAAATAGGGCTGATAGTTGTTGTGTTCAATTTGACGATCCTAGCAAAGGTTTTTTTAAACAAGAAAATCTCAAACTTTCAAATTCAGTGGGTATATTATATGCTTGGTCCCTTACGTATAACCTTTGTGAATTACATACAGAATATGTTTGCATAAAATCAGTCAATTATTTTATCATACTTAGAGAATGTGCCGCTATCGTTTACTTCCGTAAAATTCTCTTTTGGAACTTCGAGAATTGGAAGCCAGGGGGTTTTAATTTTTATACTATAACCGTTAATATACCATCTCTAGTTTATTGTTTTTATCCCTGAAAAGAAAAAAAAAGTGTTACCTTTATGATTGAATCTTTTCTGTGACATTATAACTTTTTTGATTATTGAAGTGTTTTCAAAAATATTGTGTATGATATGTAGAAATGAACAAGTTATTAGTATTAATTCCCAGTCAGAGCAAGCTACTTACTTAGAGTAAATCAACCTGGTAATGAGTACAGCTAATTAAATATACCTTTCTCACAATGTTTCGTCAGTTTGATATTGTTGCTGTTGATGATATTTTCGGCCATAAACCCAATATCATCTCACGAGATTGAAGTTAGTCCTAAGTACTTATATTGAGCTAACAATGCAAAACAACCTCTGTGATAAAAGTAGTAAAATTAGATATATTAAATATTCTAACCAATACTGTTAACGGAAGTAACAGTACAGAAATATTAGAATATAACTTACTTATACTAAGTGTATTGATTATTTATCTGATGTTACTGTTTGGACTTTTCATATTGGAAAATAAACAAACCTGATTTTTCTGTTAGACAAAAAACAATTAATTATATATCCAAGGTTAATTAGCAAACGTACACTGGCTTCTTTCTCCCCCGCGGTTATTTGTTTCTATGTTTTCTCTTTCTTGCTTTAGATAAATTCTGTAGTAGAACATTAATCTTCATGCTCTTGTGTTTATACCTGATGTCTTGTAGATTCTTGTTTATGTTGGACTGTTGATGTCTACAGAAACTTTTCTTCTGTTTTATTTAATAATAGTTAGGTGTTATTACATTGAATATAGCTATGATGTATAAATGTTAATAAATTGTCTATAGAACTCCTGTTAAGATGTGTGTGTAACCTGTATGCATTTTTATTTTAGAAATTTAGGCTGTAAAATGGTAGAAGTGGTTCAAAATAAATTGATGGAAAACAATGGGTTAAAGGATTGACAAAAAATGGTCTTGCCATACATAATCGCCATTTGCTCGAAGTCACGAACTAACTGACGACACCGAAGATCGAAATATCTACTGGAAGAACTCAAAATCAAACAAACTATTTTGGAAACTCTGAAAGTCCCACGTTATATGAAACTGGTGATAGTGTAGTAAAACATTTACTTGATATATGTTACAGAAGAACTTAACTGTACTTATGAAATATAATCTTCAAAAATAGTCTTAACGACATGTAGTAAATCATTACAAAAAATGGTTGTACATAAGATCGTTTCTTTAATGATATGTTTTCAACATCAACTGCTTTCTTCCAGAAATCATGGTGGAACATTGTACTTTGTGTAGATGGGTGTATTACATTTTTAGACAATCATAAGTATTCTATTTATTTATTTATTTAAATAACTTAAATTTATATGATTGTAATGATATGCTGTATTTGGAAGAGTGAGTTTATGTTTAATAACTGCATTGAAAAACAAAAGAACTCTGAGATTCCTGTACTGATGTGGACAGGGTGGGTCCATTAAACTGTTATAAATGTAGTTGTACTCGGGGTATGTCTGACTAGGACTGCTAGATATTGTAGTGCAAGCTGATGGTCAGGTGAACAATAAAATCATTTTATCCATCATTGCACAACCTCTAGAACCTTCAAAATGCATACCTACAGTTTTTAAAGTATCTGGTAGTTAATCTCTTCTCCCACAAATTGTCAATGTAGGGAAATCAAATATCTAGTACCATATTCAATGGTACTCTGTAAAAGGTTATGGCACGTGTACTTTGACCCCCACCCATGCACATAGGGCTAAAAACAAAATAATTCAGAAGTTCCATCCGTTGATGTGGCAGTGCCTTATGAATTGTTACATTAATCCCTTTCATGGCAGGCTATTTGTGGAAATGAGCTAAAAAAATGTTTTTTTGATTTAATTTTTTAATCGTATATTTTTGTATATTAAAAAAAACAAGTTTTTTAATGATGTTTTATATTTCTACATAAATATACACAATAAATAAATGTCAACTATCCAGAAAAAAAGAATGGTTTTTCTCCAGTATTTGTGATACATAATTCAGAATATATTCAAAAGATATCAGCACAAACCATTTCCAGTGCCATCTAGTAAACACCGAATTATCTCGGGCATTTTATCTGTTGATATGGACATATTAATAGCATCTTTCAATGTATTAACTCAACTTTTCAGGCTGAAGACTACTTACGAAAGGATGGGTCGTCGGTTTTTACACTGACATAAAGTTATTTCTACGACAAAATGATGTTTAATTGTATAGATTCAGTGTTGTTCTTGAAGACTCGCTTGATGACCTTAACTAACGTGTGACATTATTTAAAGATATAATTTGAAACTTTACAGTTTGCTGTTTAAAGGAAATAGTTAATCTGTCACAATTGTCATTAAAGAACGACCACGTTATTCTGACTTACTAGTGACTTTATTAGTAATCTTATTTATTTTTTAAAAGTTTTTGTGATGTTATGAGTGACCACATTGTTACTGAAGACTGATATTTTTTCTAAATGATTGACTTGTATTGTTGTGGCAATAAAGTTTATTTGTGTTCCTTTAAATAATTAATTGTTGCAACTTTGATTGAGACTTTATCTGGTAACCTTACGATTAATCCCTACAAAGTGATACATTAGCCTAGTATGTGGTGTTGCCTTATTTGATCCCCAGTGTTTTGTTTGATTGAATTATTTGATCACTGTATGATTTGTTGCATTATTTGATCCCAGCGTGTGTCTTCTTTAACTGTACAGTCAGTAGAGAGCGCCATCTGTGTTGAGTGAAAAATGGTTGTGCCGAGAAAAATAGATTAAATGTATTTAAAAAAATCAAAATATGGAGTGGGTTATTTAAGAGTATTTAAATTTGGTCTGTTTGTTTGTAATTAAGCACAAAGCTACCTACGGACTTACAATGCTAGAAACTGGGTTTAGATACCCGTGGTGGTCAGAGCACAGATAGCTCATTTTACATGCCACTAGATGGCGTTTATATTCAGCACCAAGTTTACGGAGTAACAACGCTTAAATATTCGGGGTTCGATTCCCTGCTGTGGACAGAGTGCAGATGATCCATTGTGTAGCTTTGTGTTGAAACAACAACACTCACTGGAATAACACTAAACGTCTGAACTTAGAAGTACGACTTTAGATACAACAATATTATTTTGAGGTGTTGATAATATACAGAGAGAGAGAAATAAGTATTCATTTTTTGAAGGTGAGCTTCGATGACATTTTAACATAACTTGCTATCCTTGTTTCCCGATTTGTTAATGTATTTCGTTTCGGAAGCATCTGTGTCATTTCAATCTTATCGCCTATCCATTTGGTGGCCGTCAAAGCGACACGTGGTGTGAGACTACACGTGTTGAGTTCCATCTATTTAGATCTTATAAGACATTAAGCCCACTCTCAACCGTCAGCTTCATCCGAAAGAATGCCCAGTCTGTGACCTACGCACTTCACAGACTTAATAACTTCTTTTTGAACCAGGTTGAAAGACATGGCCAAGAGGGCCATTCCAAACAAGAGATAAAGGGCACCCAATCCGAGGGTCAGCTGAGCATCTTCCGACAGAACTGATGTACCGGGGACTAGATCACCGAATCCAATGGTTGTCAAGGTTACAAAGCAGAAATAAAAACTATCTAAAAAGTTCCAGTTCTCCCAGATGGTGAAAAGCACCGCTCCACCACAGATGTAACCAATGACAACCGTTGAGCACAACCAAATCGGAACCGTGACTTCCTCCTCACCATCGCTACCCTCGGAAACAGACTCCTTCTCATCCTCCTGCACGAGGTCTAGATCTACCACCTCTCCCTGGCGGCGGCTTTTCCAACTACACTGTTCTGCACAGAGTGACCTGGATTGAATCCCAGATGGCGGAGGAAGCTCAAGAGGCTCGTCCTCTCTCTCTTGAAGAGCATACTTGTTTGATATCACTGGCACGTGGTTGGTGCTATAAAGATCGATAAAATATCTTCTCCGCGTGGGAGACATTGGTGGGGGCGCTGAAAGTTGGGGAGAGTCTGGTCCAACAGAACTAGGTGAAACGGGAGTGTTGGAAGAAGTGGGCGGCGATATATGAGGACGAAAGTCACTATCTGGTAAATCTTCTCCAGGGGCAGTACAGTCGCCACTTCTTTTCGTAACGTCTATATAGTCCGTCAGAGGGCTCTGACCCACCCAGTAGTGAGCGCTATGACGAAACGACGAGCTGGTTTCTCGGCGCTTCTTACGTGGTTTAACACACAGGTAGCAGCAAACCTTCCAGTAGACGAACTTAAACGAGTGAGCCATGGCGTCTCCGATGTTAGACAAACACAAGAGCATCAGAGGTATTCCAACAATGGCGTACATAATGGTGACCATCTTACCCCACGGCGTTTTGGGAGCAATGTTACCGTAACCTATGATAAAATAAAATAACATGTATAAAATTATTTTACATACAACAAATTAGCTGTTAGTTTATCTCACAGGAGACCACACGCACCGAAAGAGCTTGGACAAAGCAACAGTATATGGAAAAAGTGAAATATCATGCCTTTTATTTTCTTCCCTCTAGGACCTAGGCCTTTTTTTTTTCTTGAGTCTAAACTTATAAGTGATTGTTTACACTGATATATAGTAGCATTAAACAGAAAACTTTAAAACTAAATACCTTTTAGCGGAATTGGTTTCAGATAGAGAATAAATAGAAAATGTTATATTTTATAAAGATTTAAAAACATAATTGTCTTTTAGTACATCCAAAAAATTAAAAGAGACAGTGGAACCCAAAAAATTATAGAGATAATGGAACCCAAAAAATTAAAAGAGACAGTGGAATCCAAGAAAATCAAAAGATACAGTGGAATCCAAAAAAAATAATTAAAAGAGACAGTGGAATAAAAAAAAATCAAAGGATACAATGGAACCCAAAAAATTAAAAAGATACAGTGGAATCCAAAAAAATAATTAAAAAGATACAGTGGAATCAGTGCACTCGAAAGTAATAGCATGTTTTATAGTCATCTCTAAAGTACTACTTTTAAACATAGCAATAATGGGTTTACCATATTCTCCCCACCCCAAGCCCTCCAGTGGCTCAGTGGGCTTCTATCACTAAAAACTAAGTTTAGATACCCGTGGTGAAAAAAAAAACACAGATAGGCCGTTGTATAGCTTTGTGCTTAACAACAAACAAATACACCCAATCTCAACGTGGATTGACTGTCACGTTCACAACTGAAACCGCGACATGTAGCGAGCTCGAACCTTGGACTTTCGTTACGAAGTTTCGCACGCTAACCACTGGGTCACACCCAGGTTTAATAATGCTTTATACGAATTTGATAAAACAGTAACTTGTGCATGAATTTATGTTTACACTGTGAACAAGTCAACTTCCCCGATTAACATAACCTGGAAGACTTGGGTAGAATTTTATATACAGCTTTCGGGGCGTAATAAGCAACTATTTGTGCAGTCATCAAAAATATATATAATAACAATTTCAGTGCACCTCAGCTAATATAAACTCAATTTAATAAACAGAGAATGATACTAAATTATGTAATAAAAAAAAGTTTCAAAGATAAGTGTTTGACTTCAATGAAGAAAAATATCACAAACTAGGCTTTTGAATTTCATTATTCAATACGCTGTTTCTAGGCCCCCAGTGGTGTTTAAAGTTACGCCCTCTAGAGTCTAATAAAAGTAATGAATTTGTGCATATTTAGACACTTCATTTTGTGGCCTGTTTGTCTGTTAAACACAGAACAAAAGAGATGTGTAAAAAAGTAAAATCGAAGTTCCGGCATTGGAAGGTGACGTCGGTCTTGACGTCAGCAGCGACCACATTATTGTTGTAGTTGGCGAGAGGACGCGTCACAGCTAGGACTAGTGTACTTTCTGGTGAACGTTCGACACGAGGCAAAAGGCACGTGTTCAGCAATTTATGGCTGAGATCGTGAAGAAAATGGGTGTTACAACAGAAAAGGCTGTACGACTTTACACAGAAATAAACTCATTGTTTTTATCTTGAATAAAATATCATTTGTAGAAGGATATAAAAAAGCACCAAAACATTATATTCTGATATCAATTTTCAAGATTCCTCCGGATTTCATAAGCGTCAAAATACAGTAATTAATATGATCCAAAAAAAAAAAAAGAAAGACTTAACAGTTTTATGTTTGGAAATATACAAAAAAAAGAAAATATTAATGATTGCCAAATAATACCCGTTTTGCGCTTGATCCAATATTCCAGCAATACTTATAGACCGGACGTAACCAAACGATCAGTTACAAAGGATGCGACACCAGCTATAGAGGGCGATTATTTGTTCTAACGCATTAGTCTTATTATGACGTCATGAGTGCCCTTAAAGTTTATCTTTATATATAAATATGCGGGTTATTATAAAAGAGAATATTTTAAGCTTTTCCAGATCTAAGAATGTTGACTTGAAAAATATTTAGTTTGCGTCTATAACAAAAGAAAAAGTATTTTAGCTATTAACAAAAAGTTTGTTTGTTTGAAGTTAAGCACAAAGCTAGACAATGGGCTATCTGTGTTCTGCCCACCACGGGTATCGAAACCCGGTTTATAGCGTTGTAAGTCCCAAGACATACTGGGGGGTGGGGCACTAACAAAAATTAAAAAATATCCCCCACTCCGGTGGTTCAGGGTAAGTCTGCTGAGTTATAACGCTAGAAATCGGATTTTGATACCCGACGTGGGCAGAGCATAAATAGCCCACTGTGTAGCTTTGCGCTTAACAACAAACAAAGAAAAACAGATCATTAAATGGAAACAATTTTCACTGTCGTGTGAAGTTAGAATTTTCCTAAAAAAAAAAAAACAGGAAGTAGGAATTCGAACCTACAACTCTGTTTATCAAGCAGAAGCTTGACCAACCGAGCAACGGTGGTTCGAATCTCGCTCGCTGTCGGTTTTCACTTTGACTCGTGGATATCAAAAAAGGAGGAAGGAGCTAAGTTAGATAAGAAATTTGTTTGTTTTCAATTTCGTGCCAACCTACACGAGGGCCATCTGCGCTAGCCGTCCCTAATCTAGCAGTGCAAGATTAGAGGGAAGGCAGCTAGTCATCACCACCCACCGCCAACTCTTTTACCAACGACTACCGTCACATTATAACGCTCTCACGGCTGAAAGGGCGAGCATGTTTGGGGGACGGGGATTCGACCCCGCGACCCTCAGATTGCGAGTCAATCGCCCTATCCACCTGGCCATGCCAGGCCGATAAGAAATTTAACCAGTTAACTGACTCGAGAGTTCGAGTCTCGCCCTCTCTCAGTTTTCGGTTCGAGTCATGATCAACAGTAATGGATCTCGAAACGTTAATCACTAGACTACACCCGGTTTCCGCTAGGCAGGGATTTCTGGTGAACGAATACACGGACTTTACATCAAACCCTGCAAAATGTTGAGAAGATGTTTAAAGAAAAAGAAAGAAAGTCATTGATGAAGTACAGGGACGTCTTTTGTGTCAAAGTAATAATGTGCGGAATTGGTATTTATCGAGCTAATGTTAATATTACTGCATAGGTTAGTTGTTTGAAAATATATGTAGCGAAATAAACGTATTATCAAATCAAAACTGTTCTAGAGAAATATTATAAAGTCCGATGGTAAATTTTGGCCATAAAGTTTAAAAAACTACCTTTATTTTTCAAATTAAAATAAATACTTTATTTAAGCCAACATTTCGCCATTGTGACTTCGACAGGTCTTGTAGTATTAGCCCTGATGAAACCGCAATAGTGAAACTTTGGCTGAATTAAAAAGTTTGTTGATATTATCACCTTGAGAATAAAGATCGTTTTTTTTTGCGTTTTTTTTTTTGCCGCGGCATAATGGCTAATAGAATGGCTCTGAGTTTTTTTTTTTTAAGTACAAACTTTTAGCTCATAGCTCCATTTCTTGACCGGTTGAGATCTAATTCCATCCACGGCTATTGAGGATTCCCTCTTGTTTTTATCTCTAACTTTAATACCAAAATGTTACAGCACTGTTGCTTGTATATATATTGTCCTCTGGCGAGTCAGTGGTAAGTTTACAGACTTACAACGCTAAAATTTGATGTTCGATTTCCAATGGTGGACAGAGCACAGACAGCTATTTGTGTTAGTTTTATACAATGCTTAAAAAACAAAGTTCAAGTAAAGTGTACGTTTAAGTTTGTCTTCCTCGTTTATATACGTTTTAATTTTGAACTAATTGACTCAAAATATTTAGCAGTTAGAATAATAAGTAAATCAATCGAGTAATACAGGAATCAAACAAATGAAAACACGCAACAAAATGCATAAAGTTACCTAATCGAAACGTTGAATAATTTGAAACCAGTTTTCTTCGTCACAGAAAGTTTTTTTGATTCTTTGTAACGTCAAACAGTCAGACTTGTTTATCATGTTGTATAAAATGGCTCACTAAACTATATTTCTATTTGAAGGAGACGCACATTTTTTGGTAGCTACATCTTCACTCGAATGTTTCGTTTTGGAGCAAACAAGTTGTACTCGATTACATACAAAAAATACATATTAGGCTTAGCAAAGTTCCTATCGTTAGGCTTAGCAAAGTTCCTATCGTTAAAGGAAAAGTCGTGTGTCAAGTCCATTGGACTTCTGATGCGATAAAACCGTACTTGAATATTTAAAATGGTTGAAGTTGTAGCTTCGACTAGTCTCAGCAGTGATGAAGATAATATTACTTATCTTGTGGAATGTAAGCCTTATATAATCTTTATTTTGTTCAATGTCCTCGTACTCTTTGTTTGGTGTGTTATACAATTATTTGTGTTTGGATATAGCACTAAATGTACTTCAGCGGGGTCCCCCGAAAGTGTTCTGTTTCAGGAGTAAATAAAACCGAAATTAAGAGTAACAAATATTTTTATTTCTTGCTTTTGAAGTTCATATGTCATGCTGTTTTGTAGCCTACAGAATGCATAATTCTTCTCGTGATTCATGACATGCGCACGTTTTACTGACACCACTACAGTAAAAGTTGCAACGTTAAGCGTTCTTTATGTGACGTCATTTTAATGTCTACTGACTGACCGACAACACACTACTGTATAATGGTGCGAGTGGTTAAAACAGGTGACCTTTCCAGGCGGACTTCACGCCCGCTTTTGGGTAAATAATATGAGCTTTCGAAACTGATGTTACGCAGATAAAAATGCAGAATCCACATATTTTCCCGACTAATTATCATTGGTCAATCTAATTTTTAACGAGCGTCAAATCGCATCGGTTTCGATTCCAAAATTAACGCATCATCATCATCGTTAAAATAACTGTGAAATTATATGTCGCTGAACAATTATTACGCAGGTTAAAACCGGATGCATGATCAGATCCAGTATTCTTGTTGATTGTTTGTTTGAAGTTAA